TACCAGCGGGCCATCTACCTCCGGACGTACCTCCTCTCACAGGTGGCGCTCCTGGCGGTGGTCTACCCGCCGCCGGAGGCCTTCCTGCGGCGTGCGTCCCGGGGGTGGTTCGGCTTCCTGTGGGGCACGGCCTTCTTCCCACTGGCGCGGGCGGTGGCCCACCTGCCGGTGAGGGACGGCGGCCTGGGCCTCCCAGCGCTGGAGCACTCGCTCTGGGCGCGCTTCCTCACGCAGAACGTGGGGGGCGCATCCGCGCTGCTCCCGCCACCTACGGTCGGGGACTCCTTGCTCCCTCAGAGGCAGAGATGGAGGCATGGGGCTGCAGCTCACCGTTCCACGGCATGCCAGTCTTCAACTGCGGCCCACTTGCCACAGGTCACAGTAGAGGCTGTGGACTCTTCTGACACACCTTTGGATGGGTGCCATCGACAGGTCTCTCGCCCCAACCATTTCAATGAGCGACACCTAGCCTTGCAGCTGGAGATGGGAGATGAGGACGCCCCTGAAGGCCCAGCTGGAGCTCAGGCTGATGCAACAGGGGCCTTGCATTCCAGGGCCCCCAAGGGGTTACCTCAGCACTCACCCTCCCAGCCTCATTTGATTATGGGGGTCCCAACTCAGGAGATGACAGAGTTTGCATTGGTCCCTTCAGGGGGGCATCACCGAGGGGGTGGAGCCACCTTTATCTGGATTACCAGGAGTGGGCATGGTTTCCCCCTCATGGGACCGACGGACTGCTCGTGGGGATGAGGGGATGGACTGTGATGGGTCACATGGGTGGGCCTCCAGGGATGGGAGGCAGCCCACCCCTGTAGGGGGGACCTGCCCAGGGCCATCAGCTGCTTCAGCGGGTGGTGGGCCCTATGCTGACCCTGCTCCTGGGGGCCCTTCATACACAATGGCGGGGGGCTCACAGGGCCCAAGTGCCTCTCGGGGGACAGGTCCGTGGGCTGGAGCCGGTGGCCAAGATGCAGGTTTGGCCCTCCAAGATCTTGAGGGGATTCTACATTCCATGGGCATTGACCCGGAGTCTGCCTGGGGGCTGCCTGCTGATGTCCATGGGGAACGGGGGGACCACTCCTCACCACACGTCCCAATGCGGGAGCAGTACATGTTACACTTTATCTATGTGGGAGAGGAGGCAGGTTTCCAGCCTCGGGGACATCTTGTCCAGTTTGTTATCCAGTCCGCCCTTCGACGTGCAGCTGTTGGCAGCTATCATTCAACCACCTGACTCGAAGGAGGTGGATGTCTGCTGCCTCTCCTTTGCAGTGTTCACGCTCTCCACTTGGGAGTGCCACAAACTGACGCAGCTACAGCCTGAGCTGCTTGTATGTTTCTGCGTCTCCTCCATCATGGAGGGGGACGTGCAGACAATAGAGCTCCCGGGGTTGGTGTAGTAGGGATATCATTTTAATAAAAAATGTCTGGTTTCCTAAAAAAAAGTCTGGTTTCCTAACCCTAACCCTAACCCTAACCTTGAACATCACCTTGTGGGCACGCTTCCTGGTGCACAACATGGGTGGTGCATCCCTCCTGCTTCCGCCGCCAGGCGCGGGTGTCTCGACAGGGCCCCAGGCATCCAGGGATTCCCCTCTGATCCCGCCACCGTGGCTGTCAGTGGCCCATGGTCCAGGGGAGTCAGTGCCTGGGCCCCCACTCTGGGCGGCGCTCTTCCTGGAGCACTGGTGGGGGTCAGACTGGGGTGAGACACGCTGGTGGCGCGATGGCTCCTGTGTCTTTCGCATCTCAGGGCTGGACCATGGCTGCCTGCCCTCATTCCTCACAGAGATGTTGGCCACCTTGTGTCACTACACCATCCCAGCCATGCACTTCTTCCCTTCCTATCAGGAGGAGGGTGGGCTGGCAAGGGCCGTGAGGTAGCTGTGCGCCGCTGCACAATGCAGCAGGAGCTGGCAGAGGAGGTGACAGAGCACACCATCGTGGGGCCATGGCAAGAGGCACAGCACTGGCAGGCAGCCAACTATCGGGCTATCTGGCATGGCCAGCAGGCCCACTGGAGCCCTTCACTGACCGGCAGCTCCCGTACCTCTACTGGGAGGTCTGCTGGCGATTTTACCACTTAGTTCCAAAGGAGCCGTCCACGTAGCCGTGGGCGCAAGGGGCAGTGTGCCTCTGCCCATGGGCAGTGTGCCTCCAGGAGATGGCACAGAGGGGCACCACCACGTCAGAAGGTGACATCTGCCATTTTGTCATGGGATGCCCGGTGGCGAAGGCACTCTGGGCGGTAGTGGCACAACGGTTTAGGTGGCCAGAGCTTGCCAACCAGCCTTGGCTGTGCATAGTCTCGGGGCTGGAGTCACCTGAAGTTTTCTCTTCCCCCCTCCCTCTTCTTGCAGGTGCAGCAAGGAGGTACAGGGCTTCTCCAGAAACATCACCCTTGGAGGAGGACACCAGTGGTGGTGGTTCAGATCCTGACGATGCCCTAGATGTGAATTCACCATTTCCTGGCTCTGGGTACCAGATAGCGCAGGGGGCAGAGAGGCCTCAACATCCACCAGACACTTCAACGGCCCCACATGGGAGGCAGTTGCCAGAGTGTCAGAGTCTACACACTCAATCCCAAAATTCAGTAAATCCTCTGGAGACCAAAAGTTCCATCAGAGATTTATTTATTCAGGAGAAGCATACAGCATCATAGTTTGTTGTGTCTAATTCTT